AATCAATCAATAACAACCGGCCTATCATACTCCCTCTGTTTTTTATTTTCTCCACATATTAGAATTGACTGAAGTCAAACTTCCTAAAGTTTGACCAAGTTTATAAAAAGAATATAAATATTTACCATAACAAATCTATATGATGTGTTAGTACATCTGATAATGAATCTAATGGTGTTCATTTGTTATTGTATATGTTAATATTTTTGTCTATAAACTTTGTCAAAGTTACCAAGTTTGACTTTGACCAAAGCTAATACGCGGAGTAAATAAAAACGAAGGGAGTATTAATGTCGCACACCCTCCGACCACTTCTAGGGGGAAAAGGCGCCATCATATGATATTGTAGTACCAATAGAGTACATGCAACCACCGACTCAAAAAAATTCCCATTTAAATATGAGTTGATTAGTGGTATACACAGAATCATACCACGAAAGTCACACCAAATCACCGCATTACAAATAAAAATTAAAGACACTCCATCGTCTCGCCCACCCACCAAACTAAGTGTTCCATCAGTTCCAAATGCAAGGGGTGTTAGTGTTTTGGAAAATCAAATTTCTTTAGCTTTGACCACGTTCGAAACAAAAATATTGACATCCACAATATTAAATAAAAAATTATAGAAATTTGTTTCATGATGAATCTAATGATACCGATTTGATATTATGGACTTTCTTATATTTCTCTACAAATTTAATCAAACCCAACAACATGAGCGGTGCAGCAAAGCACGCCTAACCCTTCTAGTTCAATGCCATTCCCAATCCAGCGCCCCGTTGCAAAATTTCACTATTTGACTTGATCATTTCAACACCTGGATTCTACTATGTCTTTGTCCTAAAACAGAGTTCTATTCTGTTATGTTTTGTGTTTGCCTCAGAACAAATATGTAACAGGAGTAATCGGTAACAAAAACACATATTTATTCTGATTAATAAGTTAACGAAGGTATTTACAGTTCAGATTGAACTTGCTGCATGCATATCGCCACCCATGCTAACCTAGCCTAGATATGACCTGCATTATTGGTGGCAATGAAATGATTATTGTTCCACCTGGCCGGACTGATTATTCCATCACCTGTGTTCCTGCATGCATATATATAGGAGGACGGAAATCATTAACACGTAAGCCATCTAAATAAGTTGTCTGAACTTAACCAAGTTTGGGCGGGTGCAACAAGTAGCTCACCACTTAGAAACGCAGCAACAGGTATTGCACATATGGTCAATGAGGCTACAAGTACAACACTCCAAGCTACAACCATGTTCTGCACATTCCCCAACTCTTGATGACCAGGAATCGGTGTTGAGGTGGTATTGGAAAATATCTTTGTCACGAATGCGATTTGCATGCACAATGGTATCACCCGTGATGGTAGACACCGCCGACAAACTAAAACTCGGGTTCCTTTTAGTATCAATCAAAAGAGCATTGCCTCCAATGCTTTTTACCGGGGCAAACTTTCCTTGTGCAAGATCCGTTAATCTATAAATAAGCATTTGTGTAGTTTCTGTATAGCCAACCACCAGGATCTCGGGGTCGCATTCTACTAGCTCGGGCAAGTGGAACTTATCCGCCGGACATGTGGCAACCAACTTGGGTGACAACAAGGAAGACGAATCTAAACCCAATGTTGTTGAGTGATCTTGCCAAGGTGGGTCGAACCGGAGAATATTTACTTCCCAGCTAGATATTTGCTGCTGCAACATGTAAAGTTGTCCTTTGGATGATAATGGGCTCGCATGTGGGTAGAAGCCTAAGGTAGATAAACTCCACCGCTCGTCCTTTGTGCTAGCAAAGAGTATGAACGGTGTATTTCAAAACGCGATCATGACCCCAAGAACTCCATCCGGACTTGTGCTCACAGCGGCAAACACATTGGTCGGTAACAAGCGTGCTCCCAAGTTTTATGGGAGAGTTATGTTTGCCGGAAGCTCCACAACATCGCCCGTGAAGGGGTGGAGGAGGCATAGACGGTTGCCGTGGGTGTATTGCCACGGCCGTAGGAGGAGGAGCAGGCCATCTGCTGGGCAGAGGACGAACTGGTCTCTGAGAAGAGGAAGTCGAGGGCGGACAAAGACTCCAGTGGACAGGTTGAAGAAACGTTTCTTGTCGTCTTCATGGGGATGGAGCCCGTGCCCCTCGGGCAACATCATCTGCGCGGGTGAAACCGCGGATCAACGATTCCGTGGCCGCGCGGGCAGACGGTGCTGGACCGCCAGTACGGGCAGACAACACGAAAACGGACGTAGTCAAGTAGTCCCCGGCGAGCACCCGCCATCCACCGAGGCGGACCAGATCCCCGTGCAGGGTTGTCCATGGCGAGACATCACCGGAGCTGGCGGTGGCGGCGGCGGTAATGGCCGGTGGACCATTGCGAACGGAGGACATCTCGATCCCGGTAGATTCGATTGGTAGTTTTCTGTTTTTCACCCTAGCCTACACGAACGCTTCGCACGACTCGAGAGGAATCACAAACTGGTCAAGGATCGTACCGTCAACAAAAAGGAAAACCTGGCTGGGCCTGGCCCGTTTGTTTTTTAACCTAAGGCCTGGCCTTGGGATGGTTGAGTTAATCTAAAAATATTGGATTAGTTACGCTTACAAGTAGTGATACTGGTAATTCTCAACACAAAAAAAGTACTCGGTGATATTTAGCTCATTATCGGTATGTATAAGCCTGCTATAATTCGAGTCTAGTTGTGCACAAATGCCGGGCTGGCAGTGGAGGCAAATTTTAAGCTGGTTTAATATATGTCCACATATGGCATACTTATTCACCAACCTAGTCGACTAACATAATAGCTGAATGAACGCACGCGCCAAGAAACGCCTATTGGGCGCCTAGTCCGCGGGATGGTATAGGAAATGCATGGACAGTGCATCCTGTGCAAGCCTATATTTTTGGCTTATTTATTGCACATATTTCAAAAATATTCTTGATCAGTCAGATATTTAAAGAAGATGATGTGATTTTTCTAAATAAAAAACTTATGTTCACAAACATTTTGTGATACTACAAAAGTGTTTGCGAATTTAAAAATGTTTCCAAGTTTTTGGAAATCCTGAAATGATAAAATTCACCTGAATTAAAAGCATCCGTGACTTTTATAGTAAGATTAGAAATATTCATGAATTTTACAAAAATAATGTTTGCAATTTAAATAAAAATGTTCAGAAATTTTTCAAAATGTTTATAAATTTTGAAATAGTGTTCTTCATTTCCAAATAAAATGACCATTTGTTCCCAAAAAAAATGTCATCGGATTCTTTAAAAAATATCCATGCTTTTATAAAATATTCATGATGTTTGATAAGGAAAATAAATAAATAAACAATTGAGTATAAATTAGCACGATGTGCTTCTGTGTGAGGTAACCATCAAAATGGGGTAGACGGAAGAAGAAAGCAGAAGTGGGGTGTTTCATAGTTATCGAGAGTTGTGCGCGACTTCCCTTGCTCCACCGCGCTATGCGCCAAATAGGGTTTGCTCGCACCAAGGGCAATCACGTAGTGAGATAGGTCCCCTTGGGCTCCTACTTGACACTCGTTATTTCGATAAGCATTGCCTCTTTATATGGCGGTGGCCGGTGGCATTTTGACTGTAAACAACTAGAAGTTGGATGACATGATTTTGCAGGAGGGGTGAGAAGTCGGTTGGGTTGCGGGAAGCTGGTCTGGAGGGGCTTTTGCTCCATATTGCAATTTGGAGAGATGCTTCTCTAAAGCCTAGGCGTGAAATGGTTGGGCTTCTGCTCTTAGGGGATCTGGAAGAAGCAAAAGTTGAGGCGCAAGCTCAAACCAACAGGTGCTAAGCTCTTGAGAAGAGCACAACTTATACCAACATACACTAGAAATCACCTGAGTTGATAGATACCTTGTTTAGTGTGAGTTTCTTAAGGTTCGTGAAACCACAAAATCTATGGGTAGTTCTAAATATACATAGCCCAGATCAACAAATTTCACATGAAGAGCTGTTTGGGCCACTGAGATAGCACAGTGGCATAACATACCTGTGGTATTTGTGTTCATAGCCGAAGCCATTGATCCCTTGCATGAAATCAAGAGCAATATGATTGGCCCTTGACGTGGTGAAAAAGTTTGACAATATGATATTTATACTCTCTAAGACCAAATTTGACAACAAACTTATCCAACATAATGGTAGTTTTCGTAGAAGTAGAGAACAGTGGGCACAATACACTGTCCACGTTGGCAATAAATTCGGCAATCATGGATGCCCGGTTAGTATTCCTGGTTGTATATCTGCCAGAGATGGTGTCTTTGGTGATGACAAGGTCAGGGTGGCATATCTTGAGCCATGTCCAGTCAATAGAAATCACGCTCATCCTCACGACTTCTTTTAGTGATGACCGTGACAATGTGTCGCTCAAAACATCATGTCCAGTAGTGCTACATGTGCAATAGCCGCACTCTTTCCTAAAACTGTTATTTAAGACTCGGATAAAAATAGCCTTCGGTTCCTCAGTGACTCCGTTGAAGCATTCTTGGCTGCCTAGTTTGTCCATGGGTGGTACGCCGATATAGAGTTATAGATATGAGTATATGTCGGTGTCAAGCGAGGAAGCACAAGCTAGATAAAGCATTGTGCATTTGTGTCCCTATAATTTTGATCAAGCAATGGTGAATCACACCATTTCAACTTAATTTGTTTTGAGGCAAAAACACAATAGAATAGAAGTCTGTTTTAGGACAAAAACAGAGTAGAATTCATTCAGATGTTGAAATGATCAGGTCAAAAGTCTGAAACTTTGCAACGGGGAGTCACTGGATCGGAAATGACATTGAGTAATCAACCAGGATCTATCCTCGACCATTCTACATGGATCCCTTTGCATGCATACAACTATTTCATGAATCATGATATACTCTGCTTTATTATTACAACCAATCCCAGTTTTTTCCTGCTACAATGGAGGTTCATTTAGCAAGCTAGCTAGCTTTGGCAGATCACTCGGTTACCAGTCTAGCTAGATGGCTCTTGATGTATGTACGTATTTGGAGTAGAAATTACTCCTCCGGCTCCTGCCTGCAAAAGGGAAATGCCTACATACATCAGTCGGGATCGGGATATACAGAGATCTTCAGGTAGACTGTCATGGACTGGTTAATACTAAGAGAATTAGTTAATTCTTTAGCTCTGCAGCTCCCATTTCATAGGAGCAGATACATGTGTCTGTCATTTCACTAACTGTTTCCAAGGTAAGCATGTCTAGGCGATTAACCAAGGAGATCTTATCAGTTTAGAGGCTCATAAGCAATGGATTCGTGCGTGTGATGCTTAGTTGCTTACTCATCAGGTGAGGTGTACTTGGCAATGGCGGCGGTGATCCTGTCCTTGTCCCGGGTGGCGAAGGACTCGACCAGGACCCCGGCCTTGTAGAAATGGAAGAGCGGCACCACCTTGATGCGCAGCCGCTCCGCCACCTCCGACTGCTCGTCGTACTCATCAATCACCTGCAATGCAAGCATGCATAGCTTCTCTTTCAGATGCATATAAGATGATCTTTTGACTAATCAAGATTTGCTGGTGTCAGGAGGGTCGGACGTTGTGCTTGAGGAAGATGACGGGGGAGCCGTGGTCGCCGGAGCCCTTGCAGAGCTTCATGAAGCCCTGCTCGATGTACTTGCAGCTGCCGCAGGAGGGCCGGAAGAAGTCCACCACCACCAGCGCGCCCGTCGCCCGCGACCGCTCCAGGAACCGCCCCAGCTCCTCGTCCGTCTTGAACTCCGTCACGCACTCCACCGGGCACGACTCGTCGTCCTCCTCCTCCTCCTCCTCGCCGTTCACGGGGGCAAGCCCCGGCAGGGACCCGTTGGTGCTCCCCGCGCCCTCCTCGTTGCTCTCCGACGACGACGACGACGACACGGAGACGCGGATCTGGCGGCGGCGGCGGAGACGCAGTGGGGATCTTGGGAAGGGGAGGGTGGTGGTGGTGGTGGCGCGGGGCGGAAGGGAGCGGCCGGAGGTGGTGGGGAGGGGGAGGAAGGAGCCGATCATGGCTGCATTCTCGTGGATTTGTGGTGCCTGCCGTCTTGAGGTGGTGTTGTGGATATTGCGTGGGATTCTTTTCTTTTCTTTTTCTTTAGAAAAAGTCTTCGAGAGAAGGTAGGAGAAGATCTACGTTTGTGGCTGGGATTGATTTGGTGTGCGCGCGCCAAATCTTTGATATTTTGCCTTATTTTTCTCAAGTGAAAAATGTCTTTTTCAGAGCTAGCCAAGTCTAAAATCCAGAAACTTCACATCTGCAATTTAAATGCCATGCATAAACATCACGAAATCACACACAATTAAATGGCGTGCTCCTTGTTCATCTGCGATTGACTGTCCTCCTAACCATCCTACCACAGGTTGGTTAACAATTAGATATCAAATTTATTAGTTGTTTTTCATGTGGATTTTCTAGTGTAATCTACTGACTTCCTTCAAATGGGAGTACAAATAAAGATCTTACAATCCGTAAATATTCATATGAAAAAGAAGAGAGAACATTAGAAAAAGCAATATAATAAGCAAAGTGTTGAGCTCGGCTGAACAATAAAACAATAATTTTTTTTAGAAATTTCTGATTTTTTGCGTGTGAAATATTAACAATTTTTTTCATAGCTTGCAAATTTTCATCATGGATGACATTCATGGAAAATGTGGCAAAGAAACAAAAGTGATGCTCCAAAATGCGTTTGAAAATAGAATTTGGAGCATCGACTCTGTTTTGTTTTTGTCACGATTTCCATGATGCCACATGGTGATGAAAGTTTTGAGGCAAAAAAAATCATTTTATCCATGTTTCACACAAAAAAAATCAGAATTTTTAAATCTATCAACCTTTTTGGTTTGATTTTACTGTTCACCCAAGCTCACATACCTCGGGACTAGAACAACCCCTTACATATAATAATAAATATCAAGTCAAATGTTACAAATATAGTTATAATTACAGAGCTCTCCTTGGTCAATGGTCAACCTACACAACACTGATAGCTAGAAAAAAAGTCAGGTTTTTAGGGAAAAAAAAGTCAGAACATGTTTATTTAGAAGCAAAAAAAAAGTCTGAACATTTGATATTTGTTTTGTGTGTGGACATCTGAACATTTGATGTGACCATGTGGGCCCTAAACGGTAGTCAGGTCCAGTTAAAGCCCAAGAGAAAGACGGCCTAACCCAAACGAGAGACGCACTCGAATCTTCGCAACAGCCTCGCCCCGCCGCCGCCGCCGCCGCGGCCACGACCGGATCTCGTCCTCCTCCCGGCCCAGCAGAGGGCGATGGCGGCGAGGGCGCTTGGGCTCGCCGGCCGAGCGCTCCTGCGGCCGCTCTCCTCGCCGGGCGCGCAGCGGCTGCTGTCCAGTGACAAGGTACGCTCACCAGCTCCCCATCCCTCCCTCCCTTCCATTGCATTTCCCCGCAAGAAACCCGATACAGATCCATCTAACTCGCAACACGATGGTAGCCAGGTAGACTGAACCAAATCTTGAACTGAAACAGACAGATAGGACAGATTCGTGAGCTAGGCAAGTGTGCGCATGCTTCCCACCAATTCAACTGCGATGTAATTTCATTTCGTGGGGAATGATTAGGCAGAGGTGTTCTTGTCATCATAAATTCCTTTTTTTTTACTGGAGTACTCCCTCTGTAAAGAAATATAAGAGCATTTAGATCACTACTTTCTTTACGGAGGGAGTACTTTCCTAAGGGTGCCGGCCCCCTTTGCCATTGCCAACTAACCTACCAAATTAACTTAGTCCAGTGCTGCTGATGTTGTTGACCACAAGTGCTTGCTACTATAGCCATGAATCTTATTGTGTGATCTTTATTCTTACAGCCGCATTGATATATACAGTCATTGTCTCCTGCCTTTTCCCCAGTTCTGCCTGGACACGAACAGAGTGGTCCATGTTGTTATCTGGTGCTTGACACGATTTGTATCTCAATTTGTGCTCTTGCAGGGCCCACTGGAGGGCCTCGTGAACGCCGGTGATCCGATGAGTCGCCTCATCATGCAAGCACGGAACCAGACTGGCAGCGGTTTTTCCCCTCAATTTGCTGAGAACGGGTTCACAGCAGGTGGTTTCAGGATGGGTGGTAATGGATTTACAGCCGGTGGTGGCAGGATGAGCGGAAACGGATTCACAGCCGGTGATGGCAGGATGGGTGTAAACGGATTCACAGCCGGTGATAGCAGGATGGGCGGAATTGGATTCACAGCCGGTGCTGGCAGGATGGGTGGAAACGGTTTCACAGCCGGTGGTGGCAGGTCGGGCCGGTTTAACATGGAAATGCTGCGGCCAGCAGGGGCTCCGCGAGTAAAGAGGGACGTTCTCCACGTCACGCTCAAGGGGAAGAAGACCTTTGTGACGGTGACGGACGTCAAGGGGAACAGGAAGGCTGGGGCTTCCGCTGGCTGCTTGGAGGATCGAAAGGGGCGGTCTCGTCTTGCTCGGTATGCCGGTGAAGCAACAGGGGAGCACATGGGGCGAGTCGCCAGCAAGATTGGCCTCAAGTCGGTCGTCGTGAAGGTGAAAGGATACTCCTTTTTCAGGAAGAAGAAGAAGGTGATCATGGGCTTTGCGGATGGTTTCCGGGGCGAAAGAGTGAGGACCCCGTCTCCTATCATGTACGTCCACGACGTGACCCAGCTCGCGCATAATGGATGCCGGCTGCCCAAAAAGGTAAGGAAGTAAGACTGATAATAGCCCCCAGCAAGAAGTGTGGAGATCAGTATCCTGTCCCAAGGAGAAACAAATTAAGAACGATATGTATGTATCGACAGGTTTTGTAATAATGTCATGAGCCTGGAAGTATTTATGAATACTTATTAGACAGTCTTAGATTGGCGCTTGTAAGACAAACATTTTTGTCATTTCCTGTAATGTTGCTGAAGTGATGGATTTGTTTTCATATCCCTCTCCTTTTGTGGAGCTCCTATGTAGTTACAGCACTGCAAGTGTATGTGTTGAGAAGCTGCTAATTTCTTGTTTTTCAAGAAGTGAAAAAGTTTGAAGTCGCAGGTAATTTGGACGGGTTGCATCCCTCTTGCACATTAAAATAATGTTCTGCTCTAATAGTTGCTCTGTCCCCTTGTTTTCTTTTTTTAACCGACAAGAAAAATTCTGAGATTTTTATAGAATTAAACTTTGTCTGTGATTCTTTCAAGCAAGACAAAATGCAAACTCACCAAAATATGCAGAACTCCCTTCATCATATTCCCTCTTCTCCTCTCACTAAAATTTCTCTGTTGAGATCCCCTTTGCAGTTAACTAGAAGGGCGAATTAGTAGGTGATTATTTAGAACTTAACTACTAGAATCTCTATGTAGTTAGAAGGAACGACTTCTCTGATTTTGTTGGTTCAGAGAAGAATGTAGTATTGTGAAGGAACTTGGGGAAGATTAATTGCAGCAAGGAAATCACTGAATCTTGACAGTATCATACACAGACCATGCATGGAATAGGATGAATGATTCCATGATTTTATTAATGACAGTGTATCACATATATATCGCTCAAAATTGCTACCAACTGCTTATGTTCATAATAGCAACGCCGAAAAAGAAGAAAGCATAGTTAATCCAGATTGCAACCAAAATGTTGACAACACTGAATTTTCGTGCACACACTACTGCATCCAATCATTCGGCTTGTACATGAATGCTTCCCTTCTGAGTATTATTATAAATCTTCATAAAGCTCCCAATCGATCATTTTTCCACCACGCCCATATACATCAATCGTCGGCATATATAAATAGCATCTCCAGCCCCAGCATTGTACTTCACAAAATGGTGACGATATGACGGAACTCCTCGCTGCCAAGGATTTGCTCTGCAAACATCCTATTCTGATCGGCATGGTAATGGTCCCCCCCGATACTACCAGCCTTGCTGACTGAATAGATATCATCAGTGTGAAGAGTCTCGGCATACGCCACTGGATCTACCACCATACGTTGAAGTACAGTAGCATTCCCAAGGATGTAGAGCGCCAGCTCAGCTAGCCCCAACACATCACAAAATCCAGACATGTGGACACTCTTGAGGTGATGATGCAGAGGCCCTTGCGCAGCTGTCACCATCCTCATAGTAGGAGGGCAAAATCTATCACGACCAACCTGCACACACATATATCCGTTAATTCACTATAAATATTCTTCAGGGGGGCAGGGGTTAAACAGAAGCAACAGACATAACTATCCTGATTAATGTGTTGATTTTTTTTCATAATCAACAGTTAAATTACTTACATGCAGTTCTAATTCTTCTAAGAGAGGTGATAATTGCAAAAGATGAACAAACCCTATTGCCCAACTATCATCATATGGATCCCACCCGATCTCAAGGTTCATGTTCAGATGCCTCAAATTGATGAAGCTATTCTGGTTTTCACTGAATCTTAGCACCTGGAAGAGAAACAGTGCACAGATACAAAATTAACAATTAAACTTTGTGATAACAAAATTTTAAATGAAGTAAAACAAAGCACTACTTTCTAGAGCAGACCTGATCCAAATTCAAAAGTAGAAATAGTTTTTGCACATGAGGAAGAGCAAGCTCGGTGAAGGTGAAGGCCAAGTCATCGAAATCATAATCATTGAACTCTTGAGTCCTCATGTTTGATACAAAGGTTGCCTCCGACAACCTCAAGCAATCACTGAGCACAATTTGTGCGAGATCTTCGTCGAACTCAAATTTGGTAAGATTTGGAGCATGCAACTCTAACATTTCCAGTTCAGAACGGCGCACACGCAGGTACTGCAACCTGCACAGTTCCTGCCCTATGCGTAAACTTGACAAGGGGGAGCACCACTCTATGTTTATATGCTCGAGAAGAGCACAACTTAGCAACAGGCACTGGAGATCACCTTCACTGATGGACACCGTTTTTAGTGTAAGTTTCCTAAGGTTTGTGATACCGCAGAAACTGGGGGGCAGCTTTAACCATACATAGCCCAGAACAAGAGATGTGACACAAGAGCCGCTTGGGCCACTGAGCTTGCACAGCGGG